CTGCCTTCTTCTATGTATGCACCATCCCCAAATTCAGATGATTTCAACCGTGAATCTCCTAGTTATCCGTCTCCTAAGCCACCAACCAGTATGTTTGCTAGCACTTTCTTTATGCAAGATGGGACCCACAATTCTTCTGACCTTTGGAGTTCATCAAATGAAATGAGCCAGCCTGGTTTTGGTGGAATTCTGGGGACCTCCACTTCTCACAGGTCTCAGTCCAGTAGTTATGGCAGCCTTCATTCACATGACCGCTTGAGTTATCCTCCACACTCAGTTTCACCAACAGACATAAACACAAGTCTTCCACCAATGTCCAGCTTCTATCGTGGCAGCACCAGCAGTTCACCTTATGTTGCTGCCTCACACACCTCTCCCATCAATGGATCAGACAACATTCTAGGAACTAGAGGGAATGCTGCTGGAAGCTCACAGACAGGTGATGCACTCGGAAAGGCTTTGGCATCTATTTATTCTCCTGATCATACCAGCAGTAGTTTTCCATCAAACCCATCAACACCGGTTGGATCACCTTCACCTCTTACAGGTACCAGTCAGAGGCCCAGACCTGGAGGGCAAGCTCCTTCATCCCCAAGCTACAAAAACTCACTCCACTTCCTGCAGTCTCGAATGGAGGATCGTTTAGACAGACTGGATGATGCTATTCATGTGCTACGGAACCATGCTGTGGGACCTTCCACCAGTTTGCCTGCTGGTCACAGTGATTTACAGTTTATTGGGACCATCCCATAATGCACCAATTGGAAGCCTCAATTCAAACTATGGAGGATCAAGCCTTGTTACCAACAATTGATCCACTTCAATGGTTGGAACTCACTGGGAAGATTCTGTCAGTCTCAATGGCAATCATTCAGTCCTGTCTACCGTTGCTGCTTCAAGCACAGACCTGAACCATAAAACACAAGTAAATTATAGAGGTGGGTTGCAAAGTCAGTCTGGAACTGTTGTTCCAACAGAAATCAAGACTGAAAACAAAGAAAAGGATGAAAACCTTCATGAACCTCCTTCATCAGATGACATGAAATCAGATGATGAATCCTCCCAAAAAGATATCAAGGTCTCATCTAGAGGCAGAACAAGAAGTACTAACGAAGATGAGGATTTGAACCCAGAACAGAAAATAGAAAGGGAGAAGGAAAGGAGGATGGCTAACAATGCCAGGGAACGTTTGCGTGTGTGGGATATTAATGAGGCATTCAAAGAGCTTGGCCGAATGTGTCAGCTTCATTTGAAGAGTGAAAAACCCCAAACAAAACTCCTTATTCTTCATCAGGCCGTGGCAGTCATCCTTAGTCTAGAACAGCAAGTCAGAGAGAGGAACTTGAACCCTAAAGCAGCCTGCCTTAAGAGAAGGGAAGAAGAAAAAGTTTCTGCCGTTATCGGCAGAGCCGCCAACCATGCTGCCAGGAACCCATCCTGGGCTTAGTGAATCTACCAACCCTATGGGTCATATGTAAACATCAGTCAGTTCCAGAGTTATCAGTAGGCTAGATAGAAGGTGACCTCTCCTCATAAGGACTTGGACAACTCAGATTATCTGAAGACACAGACCTGACAGGAGGGAGAAGATAAAACAAAACACTTGAAGCAAGAAACTCAAATGTAATCCTATGTTCAAAGCAACTGGTGAACACTTCCATCAGAAGTGAAAATAGGAAGCTCATCGGATAGAATGTCAGCCCAAGAGATGTTTGCAGCATATCATTTTGTTGCAAGCAGCATGTCGCTTCTGCACAGAAACTGTCTCGATCCTCCACTCACCGTGGAAGTTGCCTTGTGCCTAAACTGAATTGACAAATGCATTGTAACTACAAATTTTATTTATTGTTATGGAACTGTAAGGTCTACATATAAAGGGAAAAAGTTAAATGTGGAAAGCTGATGTATACTCAGCTGATGCCAGCATTTGTTAAAGCTGTTCACGTGCAGAGGACAAAGCAGTGACAACCATTGGCCCTTAGCATTCCCGGCATACCTATTAGTGTCTTAAAAAGGAAGGGAAAAGTCTTTTGTTGCCCTCTCCTATCCTTTTGCCACATGAATAGTGTTTTCCATGAAATAGGAAAATATTACTTGATATAGCATTTCTCTCGCTCTCATTTTTTCATTCATTTTTATTTTCTCTTCATGGGTGTTATACTTGATCTTTGAATCTGAGTAGTTATGGTCACAGTCCAGAATTCTCCATGCAGCCCTGTGTGCTCTGCACATCCACCTTATAGTGGTAAGCAGAGACTATCTGTGACCATAGCCTTGCTAAGATTTTAAAAGGGGAAATTTCAGCCCCCTAGGTTTTCCCCCCAAGTAAACATTGTTTTATTTCTAATAATAACCAAGACTTTTCAAGCTTCTAGGTTTCATAGTAAAGCTTGTAATAATAGCAAGAAGTGTAAATTACAAGGGAAGAATCTACTTTTTAGAAATTGCTTTGTTTTCCAAGCAGTAAGTACTACATAATATAGTACTTGTAAAGTGTTAGCTGTAAGTAAGCACAAGATACGTTTAAAATACAAAGATGATTTTTCAGGCTGTGATTATGGTGAACAAAACAAAACCCAGTAGTCACCAAGGCAGGTAGTGTGATAAATGAACACACCACTCTGAGGCTAATTACCTAATGGAATACAAGAGCAATGGTCACCCATGTTTCCTTATCAGAGCCTTTATTTCTCTGTCATTTGGATGGCTCGTCAGTGGGGAGGAATTCAGTGGGTGATTTAATCAACTGCAAACCATCTGCCCCCATCCCAAGAAGAGGAGCCAGATTAGCATTAAACCAGTATATGTCAGCCCTTTGTAATACTGTGCACTAAGGCACCCTCTGTCTCTAACCCTTAGGAGTTGTTTTTAAAGTCATAGTCATCACACTGAACTTCCACGAAATCTGTCTTCCTCCACAACCACCCTGGGAGAGGAAAAACATGCTAAACAAGGTTGTCTTGGCTTAGTAATTCCTTATAGCCAGTATCAACAATGGCAATCAGCACACAGAAGAGAGAGCCCAAATCACTATATAACTTAACGATTTCTGTTAATTTGAAAGAACAAAAACAATTAAGACAGAACTGCAGATCCTCCAATCAGGATGATTCCTAACAAATCAGCTATTTGTGAACTTGGTGGACTTTTTGGTTACCTTAATTTGCATATATTCTCCAATTACATCAGAATCTATCTGTGGCCTTGTTCTTCATTTCAGTGTTAATCAGCTAAACAGAAGTTGTTGCTTATGATGTGTGAGTGAACATATGCCACTGCCTGGCCTTTTTTCTTCGGAGCTTGTTGTCTTTTTCGCTATATTAGACTTTGCAGTATTCCCTGAAGCTTTCCTTCATAAAATAGAAAGAAAAAAACATTTGGCTTATTTTTCACTGTAGCTAGTCTTTTATACAATAATCTTGTAAGAAAATTTCTTGAATTCTAAATATTACTCTTTCTAGATTTTTGAAATCGAAAGTTTTCAGTAAAAAGTTTCTTACTTTATTTTATTATATTAGGTAGTAAAAATGTAGGGTTATTTACCATAA